CTCGTCTGCGCTGGGCGGCCCCGGGGCCCGCGCCTTCTTCTCCTCCCACCTGCACCCGGCAGCCTGGGTCAGGGTCGGCGGGGAGACCGCGCCCCGACCGCGGACGGCTCCCCGCACCCGCCCCCCGCCGGAGCACTCGTTTGCTGGCTGTTGGTGCCCGTCCCGCCGTGCCCAGCTGGCTTGTTTTCTGCTCTGCCCGGGGCTGGCACACTTGAACCACAGCCCCACTTCCGGAGAGCGCGCGTGCGCGTGCGTGAGTGTACCCGCAGGCCCGCTGCTCGGGCACGTGTGCCCGTAGGCTGGCTGCAGGCAGCCTGGCCACACCGCGCTCCGCCCGCCCAGGCGCCGCGGTGGACGGGAAGGGCCCCGCGCGCCCCCCCTCCACACGCCCGCCCTCCGTGCCCCCTCCTCGTGCCCGCCGCCCCACCCCGTGGCAGCCGCAGCAGGTGTTGGAGGGCTGGGGATGTTGAGTCCTCCCCGTCTACCCTGCCACCCGCCCCTCTCCAGGCCTGGGTACCGCTTTCCCCTGCAATAGCTGTGCCAGGGTCCAGCAAGACCCTGGGTGGACTGAGGGTGCCTGCCCAAGCCTGACAGGGCTGACCTGACAGCTGCACTGGGCTGGGACCGCCCCAGAGACAAACAAGCTAGAATGTGTGTGCGCATGCGTGTGCTGTGAGGTTTAAAAATATATAACAACAATCTGGGCACCGGTGGCTCACGCCTGTCATCCTAGCTACTCAGGAGGCTGAGATTCGAGGATCGCGGGTCAAAGCCAGCCCAGGCAGGAAACCCTGGGAAACTCTTAGCTCCAATAAACTCCAAAAAGCCAGAAGTGGAACTGTGGCTACCTTGTATTAAAAAAAAAAAAAGGAAGTGGCGCTGTGGCTCAAGTGGTAGAGCACTCGCCTTGAGCTGAAGAGCTGAGGGACAGCATCCAGGCCCAGAGTTCAGGCCCCATGACCAAAAAACAAAACAAAACACAAAAGCTCAAAGACAGCACCTGAGCCATAGGAGCAGCACACGCACGCACGCACGCACACACACAGTTTTCACAGTCTTGAGATGCCTGGAGAAATGTGAACATAGACAGGATGTTCAGGCAGTCCCGGGACTTTCCGTCACCTTTCCTAGCTGTGTTATGGTGCCATGGCTATGTAGGACAAGCTTTTTTTAGAAGACTCACGCTACAGTGTTCAGGAATAAAGCAGCAGATGCCGGAAGCTACTTCCAAATGGCTCTGCAGCCAGCTAGCTAGCGGTGAGGCACCTCTGCGAACTCAGTGTCACATATGTGACCCAGGCATAACAAGACTGCAGCCAGGTCATCGGTGCCGGGTGCCGCGGCCATCCCACCATTCCCCACCATTTCTGGAATGCCTGAAAATCAACTCATAAGATGATAGAGCTCAGTTACAGCGATCAGCCTGCTGCCAGGGGAGGGGACAGGGGGGGGGATCCCACCCAGGCAGGCTCGCTGCTCCCTGCCCTCAGGAGCTGCCTTCCCTGGGGGCCAGGCACCCACCGCAAGGCTGCCGTCCTCCCCATGGCTGCACGGCACAGGGAGATCTGCTCGACTGTGTTCTGCAGCTCCAGGCTCTTAGCACGCTTGCTCTCTATGATCTGATCCCGCTTCTCCTCCTCCTGGCGCCTCTGGGCCTCTCTGAGCAGAACAAGTCGCTCTTGAAGCTCCACAACAGACATCTCTCCCTCCAGGCCATAGCCGGGGATCTGGGGGGCACAGGGAAGGGAGCTGAGGTCCAGCTCTGCGTGGGCTGGGTAGGTCTCAAGCAGGGCAGGGCCAGCCTCTGGCCTCGGTGGGCGCTGCAGGCCGCTGGGCTCGGCTCCCTCACCTGGGTGAGGTCCACCAGCTTGCCCTTGCGCGTGGGCTGTGTCTCCAGAGCACGCAGCTGGGAGATGAGCCTGCAGCGCTGCCTCTGCTCCTCCCTGGCCTCCTCAGCCATGCGCTGCAGCAGCTCCCGGCTCTCCTCCATCACCTCCTGAACTTGGGGACCAAGCAGAGTGCTCACAGGGCTGGGGGGTTGGCAGGCAGGCACTGGGCAGGGGCCACTTCCCGCTCAAATCCCTAGTTCAGGCCACTAGGGAGCACCTGTCCACCGCCAGCCCTCTCTCCAAGGACATGGGCCGCAGGGACCCCAGTAGCACGCCTGCCAAGGACCCTAGCAGGGAGGAGAGGAGCTAGGAAAACCCCTGCCATACCTATCTCCCGCCGGCCTTTTACAAGCTTCATCTGGGCCACCTTGACATTCTTCTGTGACTCTATCACCTGCTCCACCAGCTCCTTCATGCACCTGTCTTCCTGCTGGCGCCTCTGGGTGCACTGTAGCATCAACGCTGCCGTCTGCTCAGACAGGACCGCCACAGTGAGAGCTGGCTGCTCCCGCCTGCCATCCAGCCCCAGCCCAGCCCTGCCTCTAGACCACCCCACGTCCTGCTCCCTTCCTCCTGCCACAGGCCTGGAGGTGGATTTTGTTCTTTGGTAATTTGTTGCGGCAGCCCTAGAGACCTAAGTACATAGTAATGTGAAATGTTCAAGATGAGGGGACGCGTGGAGGATGCAGAACTCTGTACTGTCTGCAGCCTTTTTGTAAATCTTTTATAAAGCTATCCTAAGATATAGGATTTAAGAAATTACTTTTTTTTTTTTAACCAGTCCTGGGGCTTGAACTCAGAGCCTGGGCACTGTCCCTGAGCTGCTTTTTGCTCAAGGCTAGCACTCTACTACTTAAACTACTGCACCACTTCTGGCCTTTTCTTTTTATGTGGTACTGAGGAACGGAACCCAGGGAACTGGTGGCTCATGCCTGTAATCCAGGCTATCCAGAAGGCTGGGATCTAAAGATCGTGGTTCAAACAACCAGCAAAAAGCCAGAAGTGGGGCTGGGAAGGTGGCTCAGTGGTAGAGTGTTTATCTTGCATTCATGAGACCCTGGGTTCAATTCCTCAGCACCACATAAGCAGAAAAAGCTAGAAATGGCCCTGTGGCTCAAATGGTAGAGGGCTAGCCTTGAGCTGAAGAGCTGAGGGACAGAATCCAGGCCCTGAGTTCAGGCCCCACAACTGAAAAAGAAAATAGAAAATAAAGCCAGAAGTAGAGCTGTAGCTCAAGTGGTAAAGCACTAGCCTTGAGCCCAAATTCAAGCTCCAGAACACACACAAAAAAAGTTTTACTTTTGTTTTTTGTTTGTTTGTTTTTGGTCAGTCATGGGGCCTGGGCACTGTCCCTGAGCTCTTCAGCTCAAGATAAGCATTCTACCACTTAAGCCACAGCACCACTTCCAGTTTTCTAGTGGTTTATTGGAGATAAGAGTCTCACAGACTTTTCCTGCCCGGGCTGGCTTTGAACAGTGATCCTCAGATCTCAGCCTCCTGAGTAGCTAGGATGACAGGCGTGAGCCACCGGTGCCAGGCAAAAGTTTTACTTAAATAGAGCTGCTTATTTACATGGTTCATCAAATTATTTTAAAAGAAGGATAAAATTGGTTGAAACTGGGCACCAGTGGCTCACGCCTGTCATCCTAGCTACTCAGGAGACTAAGCAGGAAAGTCCGTGAGACTCTTATCTCCAATAAACCATTCAGAAAACTGGAAGTGCTGCTGTGGCTCAGGTGGTAGAGCGCTTGCCTTGAGCTGAAGAGCTGAGGGGCAGTGTCTAGGCCCAGAGTTCAGGCCCACAACTGACAAAAAAAAAAAAAGTTGAGTGAAAAAAATATAATCAAGTAGTTTCAGATGCAGATAAAAGATTGATTCAATGTATTAGAGAAGAAAAAATTGCAATTAACCTATAGATGCCCAACAAGTGCTATAAAAACCCAGCACCTATGGAAGGATTGGCAGATCGTGACTGGACCCGAGCTACCTGGAGGCTGGAATTGGGAGAAGGGTAGCGTGGGGGGATGGTTGATGAGATCCACAGCTGGGTATGGTGGCACACGCCCGTGCCAAGAGCTATGAGGGGAAGCCTGACACCGGTGGACAGCATCCCGGCCTCCGCAGGTGGCACTCTACCTAAAAATGACTAGCACCACAAAACCCCATACATCACACGAGGACTTCAGTTCACACCTGGATACCACCAGCCAGTCAGGCAGCTAAAACCCCAACGCTTGCTGAGGTGAGGACACAGAGGCCTCCACCCTCGTATGGTGTTAGGAGATGGCTCAGGGTCAGCCTGGAAGCAACGGCCACAGGAGCTGCCCAGCCACGGCTCGCCTGGGGCCCAGGCCCACTTCTTCGCTGGCTGTGGCTTGTGGCTCCTGGAAGTTGCACTGCTGGCCCCACAGCCCATAGCCCTGGCCCCTGCTCCTGCCATGACGTCACCTCTTCCTTCTTCTGGTCGGCCTTCTGCTTTTTCTGCTGGATGAGGTTCTGTCGGGCCAGAACGGCTTCCAGATGGCTCAGCTTGCCCTGCAGCCGTCGGCACTCGCCTGCAGCCAGCTGCTCCTCCCGGTCCTTTGCCTGCATCTTCTCCTGCCACTTGAGAAACTCGGAGAAGTCCCCGCACCCGTCCATCAGCTTGTCAACCCTGAGGGGAGGGGCAGAGGCGCTGCTGGGGTTCCTCCTCTGGTCAGGGGTACCTGGGGGCTGTGGTAAGCTCCGCCGACCCAGGGGCAGTGCTCGCCTCCATCCTACCAGGCACCTGCTCCTTCTGTGCATCTGTCCACCAACCACCTCCTTCTTTCCACCTGTCTGGCCACCTGTTCATGTACCTGTTAAGCCACCTAAGTTCTCACCTTCAGCCCAACTCATAGACATGGGAGGGGGAGCTGGCTGGTGGTGGGAAGGCCAACAGGAAGGAACCCGGGTCCCCTTCCCCAAGTCCTACCAAGTCTTTTCCTGCACCAAGCTGGGACTATACCGTCAGGTGTGGCCCTGAGCTGACGTACTCTGCTTGCCGCCCAACCTCAGCCGGCCACAGCCTGGACAGGACCCCTGCGATGCCGTAAGGAGTGTGTTTGGACTTCCCCTCCTGCTTCCTGCCATCCTGGGAGCGTCTCCATGCTGATAGGCTGACGTCTGGGTGGTTGCCCCTCACTAGCTCCAGGATGGGACTCCCCGCCCCCAGGAGGGGGCAGAGCTGAGGGCTGAGTCCGTGTGGCGAGGCCTCCACAGCGGCTGGAAGCATCAGTGCCTGTATGAGCATCTGGCTGTCCACAGGCAGCGGGCCCTGGAGGCCCGTCCGCCTGGACAGGACACAAAAACCGCGGCCCTCTCCCCTTCCTGTCCTGCACGCCCCTCCACTGGTGTGCTTTTATGGTGAATGGGTACATTAGTAAATACATGTGTCTCCTGAGTTCTGTGAGCCCCTGGACAGAAAAGCTCGCCACGCTCCTCAATCCCTAGTTGGGTGTGCCTGAGCCCTGTCATCTAGTTGGGGGCCAGGGACTGGGTGGCTCGGCAATTCTTGCAGGAAGAAGTGCACCAGTCTATAGTGTTTCTTTCTTCTATACCATCTCCCTCTTTCTCCCCCTCCGTGGTCACAAGACCAGGGCTGAGCCGCAAGTGCTGGACAAAGATGATTCCAAGCAAGAAAGCCAGAACAATGGTTTTAAACTTCATGTTGAGAATTCGTGAGGTCCTGGGGCAGGGGGCGGGGGGAGCCTGCGCTGTCTGGCATGTCAGGGGTCTCTGAGGGGAGGCCCCTGCTAGCTTAATATTACCTCTTAAGGTCTCAAGCAGCATGATGCTGACTTCCACGTCTTTCCAAAGGTGGGAAGGTGTGAGTGTTAATGAGGGGAAGAGAGGAGAGAGCTGAGAGCAAGGGAATGAACCAACAAGTTACACAGCATGGGAATCTCTAACTCTATCTACCTATCCATACACCTATCAATCCATCTATCTATCAATCCATCTATCCATCTATCTATCTATCATCTATCCATCTATCTACCTATCCCTCTATCCATCTATCAATCTCTCTGTGTATCTTATCCTTCTATCTATTGTCTATCCATCTATCTATCCATCCATCTATCCATCTATCTACCCATCCATCATCTATCCATCTATCTATCCATCTATCCACCCATCCATCTATCATCTATCCATCTATCTGTCTACCTAGCTATCTATCCACCTATCCATCCATCTTATCTATCCATCTACCTATCCATCTACCTATCCATCTATCCATCTATCTATCCATCTATCCATCCATCTATCATCAATCTATCCATCTATCCATCCATCTATCTATCCACCTATCCATCCATCCATCTTTCTATCTGTCCACCTATCCATCTATCTATCATCAATCCATCCATCCATTTATTGGTCACCCACTGGAGACACAGCAGTCTGCAGCTCTTCCGCTTGCCAGGCCCAGGCTTTGTCTCAAAGACGAGCACCTTGCAGCAAGGCCATGCCATCTTGGCATCTGGAAGGGTGAGGCACGGGTGGCCTGACCCACTGCTGCTTTGGGACCTGACCAGATGGGATGAACGCTCAAAGGCCTCCACCCCCACCCCACTCCTGGGAGCCACCTTTGATGTGAGGACAGCCGGGCTACAGACTGACTACTCAGTGGGAATTTAGTATCGTGGCAGTAGCAACATCGCTTGAGTTGTAGGTCCTTTTCCTGCAAGGGGTCAGAGTTTGAAGACCGGGAGTGGGCTGTGATGCATGGGCTATGTGTCTGGCTCCCTCTGCTGCCTTAGGCCAAAGCTGGTCTCACCACCCCCAACCCAGAACGGGAGAAATAAGGGTGAGCAGACCTCCCCACCGGAGGTCACGCCTGCACACAAAGCCTTCAGAGAAGCCATGGGACGTGGCTGAGGGTCTCCCTCCACCCCACAGGACGTGGCTGAGGGTCCCCCCCACAGGACGTGGCCAAGGGTCTCCCCCCCACAGGACGTGGCTGAGGGTCTCCCCCACAGGACGTGGCCGAGGGTCTCCCCCACCCCACAGGACGTGGCTGAGGGTCTCCCCCCACAGGACGTGGCCGAGGGTCTCCCCCACCCCACAGGACGTGGCCGAGGGTCTCCCCCCCACAGGATGTGGCCGAGGGTCTCCCCCCACCCCACAGGACATGGCCGAGGGACTCCCCCACCCCACAGGACGTGGCCAAGGGTCTCCCCCCCACAGGACGTGGCCGAGGGTCTCCCCC